GACCATCCCATTTAGAATGCCACATGCCAGGCGCTGTACTCATTGCCTTATAAGAATCCACTCTAGGGGGTCAGTGCTATTACCCCCATTTTTTGGGGTTTGAGTTGGAGTCTCACTCTGTCGCCCAGACTGGAGTGCAGCGGCCGCTCCCGGCCACCGCAGCCTCGACCTGCTGGGCCCCGGCGATCCTTCCGCCTCAGCCTTCCCAGTAGCCGGAATTACAGGCATGCGCTACCACGCCCGGCTGATTTTTTGATTTATTGTAGAGATGAGGTCTCGCCGCCCAGGCGGGTCTCGAACCCGCGGGCTCAGGCCATCCACTCACCTCAGCCTCCCAAAGGCGCGGGATGACAGGCTGAGCCACCGAGCCTGGCCTATTACCCCCATTTTATGGTTGAGCAGACTGAGGCTTAAAGAGCAGGCATAACTTGAGTGGCAGAGTTGGGTCTCGTGTGTGACCACACCTCTCCATGACCTCTGCAGCTGTCTGTCTGCCTGGGTGTAGTGAACTCATTCTGAGAACCTCCTCCAGTCCTGATCTCTGGGCTCCCCCTCTCTGATGACAACCTCTTTACTGTTGCCTCTTCCCAGTTCACGGAGGAATCTCCCATTGCCCACCAGCTGCACATCCATTGGAAGAAAAATGAGTCTTCCATACACCCATTTCTTTGACCCATTACAGCAAGACTCCAATACGAAACGTGAGCGTGTTCACCAGCCATGACCCAGGGAGGCTTTCTTACTCCTTTTTCCTCTTCTAACAGATACACTTACACTTAAAATGTCTCTCTTTTGCTCTAAATTTCCACCTGTGAAGAGGGAAATGGCCTAGAGGAAGTAAAGGACAAAATAACTGGCCTAACCTACAAGGTCAAGAACTCCCCAGACTGGGCATAATGAGTGAGCGAGAGCCCCGTGCTTGGGTTCTAGATCTGGCTCAGTTGTTACCTGTGGGTTTGTTTTTTGTTTTTTGTTTTGAGTTGGAGTCTCACTCTGTCGCCCAGACTGGAGTGCAGTGGCCGCTCCCGGCCACCACAGCCTCGACCTGCTGGGCTCCGGCGATCCTGCCGCCTCAGCCTTCCAAGTAGCTGGAACTACAGGCGCGCACTACCATGCCCGGCTAATTTTTTTTTGGATTTATTGTAGAGATGAGGTCTCGCCAAGTTGCCCAGGCGGGTCTTGAACCTGCGGTCTCAGTCAATTCACTCACCTTGGTCTCCCAAGGCGCGGGATTACAGGCTGAGCCACCGAGCCCGGTTGGTTTTTTTTTTAAAGCAAGATTTATTGAGAGGACAGAAAAGCTTCCACAGTGGGAGGGAACCTGAGGGGGTTGCCCACCTGTGGGACTTTAAGTAAGGTCCTTTCTCTCTCTGGACCTCAGTTTCTCCTTCTGTAAAAAGAGGCAGTTGGATGAGATGGTTAATATTCTTTGATTTTTATGAATGACCAGACACGTGTCCTCTCCTAGTAAAGGGACACAAGAAAGGAGGGAGAAGGGAAGAGGGAAGGGAGATGAGGACTTCTTGGGAAGCAGCTTTGGGACAGAGCAGAACAGGCCATGCAAAGGGCGTCAAAGGGCAAAAAAACATGTTCCTTGAAGGCTGCCACCAAGTTGGAAGGCAGCACTCTTAACTTCCTGGCTCTGGTCCATGATTCCACACATACTGTCAAAATAATTTAAATAGATTTTTGAAAGCTTTTGATTACTTTCAACTGGGTGCATTGGCATGCACCTGTGATCCCAGCTCCTCGGGAGGCTGAGGCATGAGGACTGCTTGAGTCCAGGAGTTCAAGACCTGCCCGGGCAAGATAGTGAGACTTCATCTTAAAAGGGAGAGAAAAGGAAAAAAAGGCTTTTATAATAAAATGACTCGATGTTCTCTTCAAAAAGATGGGAAAACACGGACAAGCAGAGTGCGAAGCATCTAGACCAACAGTCTTCAAACGTCTTTAGCTCTGTCCTTTGAGCAATCTGTTTTGAGCACACCGTCCCCGTTTATTTATGTTGTATACATGATAAAGCTCACTGAAGTATAAATTAAGACAGGTAAGATAAAAAAGAAAGTCTCCATTTCCCGAAGCCCAGTGTATGGCCAGCCGGCCGGCAAGCCCCTCAAGGGACCACCGGCAACGATGGGTTCGGAGGACGCCCGAGGCTGTGTGTGCCTGCCATTGGCTCCGCGCGGCTCCTGTTAGGAATGCCACACACACGTTTCTTGGCTGAATGAATGAAAGGATGAATGGGTGCGGGGGTGGGGGAAGATCGCAGGCCAGTGGGGGAAGAGGGGAGGTTGGCTCTGAGCCATGGTGGGAGGGCAGAGCCCTGGTCTCGGCGCTGTGCTCCACCCCCCAGGCTGGGCCCTTCGGGGCTGGCGCGGTGGGCGCTTCTGCAGTGCTGAATTGGCTGCCAGTATTTCGAAAAGCCACAGGACCGCGGAAAGTCAAGACTGAAAAGCGATGACAGCCTGTCCAGGGGGATGCCCAGAAAAGCAGCCTGCCCCCCAATCTCACCACTGGTTTGTGGTTAGAAGGAAAGCTTCGTGTGAGGTAGTGATATTTAATAAAAGCTTTTAGGAAATCCAGTTTGCCTAGAGAGTTCCCAGCAATTTAAGCCACTGCAAGCTATTGTCAAGATGACTTCCGTTTTCAGAAAAGGGCCCAGCCCTTTCCTAAGATATATGTGGCGTCCAGCCACACACGAACACACGAGGTTTCAGAGGTTCCTTCATGGGCTTTGGGGGCTGTGGAGCTGGGCGGGGAGTGAAGACCGCTGAACCACGTCAGTGCAAGTGTAGAATGTTCACCTGAAACACCGTATTCCTACCCATGTGTGTGTAGCAGCATGAAATAAGCATGTAGACAGATTTAGCTCAGTGTGGCACATAGTAGGTTTCCAGAAATGTCAGTTCCTTTGCCTTCCCTTTGTGTGTTTGTCTGGGCAGCTACCTCTGTCTTCAAAGCCCTAACCCATCCAAATTCCATCTTCTTCCCATGTGGTAGAATTCCCGGAATCCCTGGGGCAAGCGCCCCTTACCCAAAATTCCTCCAGCAATCCCTCTCTGGGCTGTGCAGTTATGGACTTCACGACACCCAACCTTGCATGGTCCTCTAGCTGTCTCGAGTGTTTGTACATAAGCGCCCATGGACATGATGGAAAGATGCCCTGGAGCCAGAAGGGCTCGGCTCAGTCCCGTCCCTGCCGTGTACTGAATAAATCATTTAATCTCTCAGCTTCGGTTTTTCCCAACTGCAACGTGGAGATAATAACACCACCTCACAGGGCTGTTGCTGGGGAAAATGGGTGTGAAAGTGCCTAAATCGTTGTACAAATGTAAAGTGCTGTTATTATCACCTCTGTTGAATCTACTGGAGCGCCTCTCCTGCCTGGTGGAGTGGAGATGATAGATACCTGATTGATTGAGTACGGAATAGCTTGGTGACAGCTCCCGTCACAGGCTCCAGGGAGCACGGATGTGCGCCTGATCCTGCAATTACTCCCTTCATTGACAATGCAAAATCTCCGGCATGTTCTAAATCCCTAAACACCCGCAGCCTTCAGTCGATAAAGCAGGGGTTACTGCCCTGCAGAGGACAGAAATGCATCCCCTAAACGCCCCTAGGTTGCAACACAGCGCCTCTGAGAGGCAGCCCTGGTTGGCACGTGGACAGGTAGAAGCCATTCCTTTGACTAAGGTGGTATTGGGGACACTCTCTGGGGAGCCTCCCTGGCAGAAGACTCAGCAAGCCCGAAGGAGCCTGTAGTCAAAGGTATCACAGAATCAGTGGAAGCTCGTGGAAGACTTTCTGCCACACGTTGCAAATCAGAAAAAGGCAACAGCCACCGGCAGGCAGTGGGATAGAGCAGCATTTTCTTTGGGAGGTTTTGATAAGAAGCCAGGCAGTTACTTTTTCCCCTGTGCTGAAAACTCTGGTTTGGGCTTGCTGGCGGATGCCGCGCAGAGCTCATCTTTTGTTAGTCTGCCGAACAATGTTATTGGTTATAATTGGGGCAATTACGGGCTGCTCGAGGAAGCTAAACACAGATGTTGAAGCCCAGGAGCAGGGTATTCAAGTCCAGAGCGGCTTGCTTTAAATAGTCCACTTCCCGAATCATCCTGCCTGACTTGAAATTCCCCCAGAACTTGCCCGCGTTGAGTGAGACGGGGGAGGAGGGGTTGGGAAGGACAGCAGAGCCGCCCGAAGAGGAAGAGAACAAGCAGGAGGCTGAGACAGGGGAGCTGCGACTTGTGAACGGAGCCCTGCGTGCGACCTGGCAGAGACCTCTAGGTGGGGTAGCCGGGCCGGGGGACAGCGGTGTCTAGCGAGACAGGAGCCCACGAAATGACGCGGGTCCGGGAGACCAAGGTCACGCCCGCAGAAAATCTCTCCGGAATGCACACGCGGTGGCCGCGCTTGGCGAGGCGGACAGGTGGGACACAACCCCCAGGTCTGGCGGGTGCGCACATCAGCAGCGGCAGTTTCCATTGGGGGCATCAGGGAGAAGCTTCCCTGCGGATTGGAAACTCGCATCCGAGCGGCATCAAGTTCAGTGGCATGTAGAGAACCAGCCTGCACACGCGTCGGGGGAGGAAAGGAAGCCCCAGAGGGAAAACGCTCGCGAGGGGACCAGGGTCTGGAAAGACGAGCCCCTTCCCAAGGACCCGGCCCTCCTTGACCTCACTCAAGCAGCCACCTCCTCTCAACACAGAGCAACCACAAGAAGGGGCCACAGTTGGGAAACAAAACTTTTCCTCCTTTCCAAGTTCAGCTCTGCCTGCTTCTGCCTCTGTCTTGGAGATTAAAAAAATAAAGCCTCCCCCCTCCCTCTCCCACCACCCGAGCGCTGAAAATACAATGAATGCCGAAATCACCTCACAATAGGCCAGCAGCATCCACGCCGAACAAAGGGGAGAGCCCTGGTGGCCCTGCCCTCCCGAGGCCACGCGCGGTTAGTCACGGTGGCCGGGGCCGGGGGCCGCGGGCCGCCTGCGGTCGCCTACCTGAGAGCTGTCAGTCCCCGGCTCCCTCGGACGGATGTGAGGCTCGGTTCTGCCGTATCAGCCACACCAGCCTATATAGCCTCCCCCCACGCACAGCCCTCCCTCTCCCTGCCCACCTCGATGACACACACACACGCTGACCCCCTTCATCAAGCAGAGCCTGCGAGCCCTCCTGGCTGTTCCCCCTCCCCCTGGCTCTGCCATCAGACCTGTGACATCCCCACCTCCCCATCCACCCATCCATCCATTCTCAAGCCTGCTGTACCTGGACTCTGCTCAGCCAGGATCCCACAGCTGCCTTCCCTTTGCTTCCAGAGGCACTGCGAGGACTGACAGGAGCTCGGGCAAGTCAGCCAGAGAGACAGGCGCCTGGCGACAGTGACGAGGCAGACCCCAAATCCTGGAGTCTCCTTGAGCAACCTTTTCGCCCGTGGAGTGGAGGATACGAGGCAGCCAGACGGGAGGGGAGCTTCACGCCACGCTCCCACCGGCACGGGGAAGCCCGAGCCGAGCTCAGCCAAGCCCCCTTCCTGGTGGCACTGCCCCTGACCAGGCCACTCAAGGGGGCGGCTCTGCCTGCCACGGGCTGGGTCAGGAGGCATTTCCACAGGTGCCCACAGCATGGCACGCTGCAAAACGCTGAGACTTGAGACTCAGACTGGAGCATCGGAGTGAGGGACTTCTCTTGGTGACCCTGAGGTCCTCCTTCTGCAAAAATGAGTCAAATCCCTGCTGGACGGTTGTGAGTGGAAAAAGGGGACTGTAGCTGGAACACATGAGGCCCTTAATAAATGGTAGGGCTGTTTTCTTTCCCTCCCCTCCCTATTTTCGTACTGATCAGTAACACCTGAATCTAGAAAGCCCATGTCAGTGTCTGGTGTCCCGAAAGAGAGCTTCTAAAGCTGCTTCTGCACTTTAGGGTGTCACCACCAAGCACCCCGGAGGCTAGGGAGCGGTCGAGGCTGCTCTGTTCCTTGCTGTGGGTCCTTCCCTTCCGCGGCTCAGGTGAGGAACGTGCTGCAGGGAGCTAGTTCCTAGTCAGCACAGGCTCGAGGTTTTGATTCTGTAGCACCCTTGGGAGCTCTTCTTTTCCTGGCCCTAGGTGAATGACACCGTGACCCTGTCCTTGGTTTTCCCAAGAGGGTCTAAAATATTCCAGAATCTCAGGAGCTCGAGCACTCACTCGAGTGGTAAGCCCAGCTCTCTTGTCGACCTGGGACTGGGTAGCGAGGGATTGGGGGGAAGCAACTGCCCTGAGTGCTAATGGATGTGGGGTTTCTTTTGGGGGTGATGGAAATGTTCTAGAATTAGATCATGGTGATGGTTACACAACACAGTAAATGTACTAAAAGTCACCAAACTGTATGCTTTAAAATGGTGAAGTTTAGCCAAACACGGTGACTCACGCCTATAATCTCAGCACTTTGGGAGGCGGAGGTGATTGGATTGCCTGAGTCCACAGGTTCGAGACCAGCCTGGGCAACATGGAGAGACCTCATCTCTACAATAAATAAAATAAAAAAAAAAAATAGCTGGGCATGGTGGCAGGAACCTGTGGTTCCTGCTACTTGGAAGGCTGAGGTGGAAGGCTCACCTGAGCCCAGCAGGTCGAGGCTGCAGTGGCCTTGAGCGTGCCCCTGCACTCCAGCCTGGACGACAGAGTAAGACTCCGACTCAAAAAAAAAAAGGTGAAGTTTATGTTATGGGAGTTATATCTCAATAAAAAGAAAATAGCTAAAAAGAAAGAGGAAAGAAAACATCTGTCCAGGTTAAGAGCAACAGGTTATTTTGTTCATTTATTTTTGAGTTGGGTTCTTACTCTGTCACTCAGGTTGCAGTGTCATGATCATGGCTACCACAGTCTCTACCTACTGGGCTCTGGTGATCCTCCCGCATCAGCCTTCCAAGTAGTCGGAACTACAGGTGTGTGCCACCACATCCGGCTAATTTTTTGGTTTATTGTAGAGCAGGGGTCTTGCCGAGTTGCCCAGGCTGGTCTCGATCCCCTGGGCTCCGGCAGTCCTCTTGCCTCCACCTCCCGAAGTGCTGGAATGACAGGCATGAGCTGCCGCACCCAGCAGCAACAGGTTCTGAGAATAAAATTTCTCTGCCCACCTGTGTTCACAGTGGGAGGGCCCAGGAGACTCACATACTCAGAAATCCTCACTTAGCTCTGTGTTGCTTGAACCTTATGCTGTAGGTCAAAGCCATCATTATGAACTCTTTGAGACATCGGCATGTTCGCTGCCTGACACAGGGTCACTTGCATCCTGGGGTACTTTAGGGTTCTGGGCTTGGAGCCTCATGTCATTCATGCGGTGGCAGACGTTGCTGGTGGTCTACTCAATACCCATCCCCCTGTTCTTCCTTGCTAAATAAGCATCCTTGATTTTATTCCAAGAAGCAGTGTGCTCAGCTTTCAGTTTCCCAGCCTTTCTTGCAGTCAAGGGTAGCCAATGAGAATCAAGCTGCAGGTCCTCGGATAGGGCTTCCAGGAAAACTCTTCTACTTTTTATTTATTTTTAGTTGTTTTTTTTTTGAGTTGGAGTTTCACTCTGTTACCCAGACTGGAGTGCAGTGGCAGGCTCCCGGTCACTGCAGTCTCAACCTGCTGGGCTTAGGAGATCCTTCCACCTTAGCCTTCTGAATTTCTGAGTAGCCGGAACTACAGACATGTGCCACCACACCTGGCTAACTTTTTGATTTATTGTAGAGTTGAGATCTCACCAAGTTGCCCAGGCTGGTCTCGAACCCCCAGGCTCAGGCAATCCTCTCACCTCAGCCTCCCAAAGGGCTGGGACCATAGGCATGAGCCACCCATGCCTGGCTTCTTTTATTTTTAATTTAATTTGATTTGATTTAATTTTAATTTTAATTTCTTTTTGAGACAAGGTCCTGCTCTGTCATCTACACTGGAGTGCAGTGGTATGATCATGGCTCACTGCATCCTCGAACTTCTGAGCTCAAGTGACCCTCCCACTTCAGCCTCCTGAGTAGCTGGGACTACAGGTATGTGACAGCACACCTGGCTAATTAAACAAAAAATTTTTTTTCCTGTAGAGATGGTGTCTTGCCATGTTACCCAGGCTGGTCTCAAACCCCTGGTCTCAAGCAATCAATCCTCTTGCCTCAACCTCCCAAAGTGTTGGAATTACAGACACGAGCCACCACAGCCAGCCCAAAAGCTCTCTTAGAGGATGAACTCAGCTAAAGGCCTCTCTCTTATTTGCCTTCCCTCCTTCCTGGAGGAGCACAAATACATTGTCTGGAACTCTAGCAGCTATCTTAGCTCATGAGACAACTTTGAGGATGGAAGCCATGGAAGATGGACCATAAAGAGAAAAGGATTTTGAGTCCCTGTGACTACGGAGGTGACGTATCAATCCTGGATTCAACTTTTTTTTTTCTTAAAAGAAAAACCCCAAACCTTTATTTCAAGTGGCAGTCAGGGTTCAGTTGCCTGTTGCTGCCTAACAAGCCACAGCAAAGCTGTTCATGAGTCTGTAGATGGGGAAGTCCGGCTAGGCTCAGCAGGGCAGCTCTTCTGGCCTCAGCTTGACTCTCTCATGCATCTGCAGTCAGCTGCAGGCCAGACTCAGTAGGTTGACTGGCTGTAAGCTGGGGACCTTATTTCTCTTCCATGTGTCTTTTCCTTCAGGTGTCTCTCCTGTCCCTCTTAGTGTGTTGGCCTGGCATGGGCTCATGGCAAGGCTGAGGTGTAAACACAAGCAAATACAATCAAGCAAGGGAACACACACAAGCATGTGGAACCCCTTGAGGCCTATTTGTGGAGCGGGCACTCCATCACTTTTGCTAAATCTGTTGGTTAAAGCCAGTCACAAGGCTGTCCAGAGCTAGGCTGGGTGGAGAATCCAAAGTCACAGGAGGAAAGAGGGCAGCTATACACGAGCTGTTCATTGGAGCCAGGGAAAACTTTAGCTCTCTATGCTTTCTTTTCTTTCTTTTTTTTTTTTTTTTTTTGAGATGGAGTCTCACTTCATCACCCAGACTGGAGTACAGTGGCACGCTCCTGGCCACCGCAGCCTTGATCTGCTGGGCTCAGGTGATCCTTCCGCCTCAGCCTTCCAAGTAGCTGGAACTACCATGACCGGCTAATTTTTAAAACATTTATTGTAGAGACATGGTCTCGCCAAGTTGCCTGGGTGGGTCTTGAATCCGCAGGCTCAGGCAATCCACTTGCCTTGACCTCCCAAAGCGCTGGGATTACAGGCTGAGCCACTGAGCCCGGCCCCCCTATGCTTTCTATAAGCCACTTATTTGGATTTTCTGCTACATCCTGTGGAAAATCATCTTTTTTTTTTTTTTTTTTTTTTTTTTGAGTGTGGTGCCGCTCTGTCACCTAGGCTGGAGTGCAGTGGCGTGATCATGGCTCATTAAAGCCTCAACCTCCTGGACTCAGGCGATTCTCCTGGCTCAGATTTCTGAGTAGCAGGGGCTATAGATGCGTAATTTTTTTTGTAGACACAAGGTCTTGTTATGTTGCCTAGCCTGGTCTCGGGCCCCTGTGCTCAAGCAGTCCTCCTGCCTTAGTCTCCCAAAGTGTTGGGTTTATAGGCGTGAGCCACCATGCTCAGCGAAAGCCATCTTAAACAATGTTCCTAGCTTTGAGCACCAAGTCATTCCCAGGATGATGGGGTTGAGGGGGAGAAGGAGCAAGAGAGAAAAGTCCTTAGCTTCTCTGAGCTTTTCTTTCCTCATTGACCAAATGGAAGAGTTGAACCCAACAACCTGGATGTGCTCTGTGGATTGAGTGAAACTCCCTGTTGGGTCAGGCTATCTTCTTTGATGGTTGGAGAGGAAGGGCGGAATGCATCCAGGAGGGAGTTTAAATACTGTTGGGTGGGGGTAGCCAATCCTTGAAAAGCACATGCGAGCTGGAAAAGCACAAGTAAACCACACGCCTGCTAGAAAGGGTGCAGACTATGTGGTGTTTGTGAGCGCTTAAAGGCTTTCTCCTTGGCACTAAGTCTTGATGCCAACTGGTCACAGCGCAGCAAGCTGTCCCCTGCTTTTCTGATCGACAAAGACACATTTATTAAAGCGGTTGGCGAGCAAAGGTCACACCGTCTTATTTCTGATGCCTTTGAGGAGGTGGAAGTTCACTCCTGCCCACACCAGCTTGTCATCTTGCAACAGAGAGGCCCAAGCCAGGGGGGCTGCAAGCATTAGACTCCAGTTCCTTCTGACAGGTGAGTTTCGAGGCAGATTGGAAAAGCTCTTGAAACCATCATCAGACGATCTCCGATGAGGGAG